GTGGTCCTCACAGTTCCCTATTTCCCCAGAGCAGTAGGGAAAGCGACTGAGACAACAGTGCACATTTAAAGTCCTTCATTTTGTTCAGCTTTCTTCTTTTATAATGATTGGAGACACCTCAGTTTCTCTACACAAATGATTTCAAACCTGCTCAAAAGAAGAAATGCAAAACCTAGTTTGTCTTGGTTCTGATATACTTGATTTTCAAATGAATATGATAAAGATTTCTTCCTTTTATCCCACCTAAATGTTGAAAAAGGAGCTTATAATTTAGTTAGGTCAGCATAAAAATCTTTCTGCTTGTAATTTTCCTGTCTTTTGAGGGTTGGGGTGAGACAGGGTCTTGCCCCGTAGTTCAGGCTGGCCTTGAACTCACAACAATCCTCCTGCCTCAGCCTCTCTCCAAAGTGCTGAGATTGCAGGCATGTGCCACATGCCCAGCTCAGTTTTTCTAAGTAAATTCAGTACAAAAGGCCCACAAAGATGTGTGTGTGTGTGTGTGTGTGTGTGTGTGTGTGTGTGAGATGGGCTGTTGTGCACGTATGATGTCTCGTGTGCATATGAGTGCATGGTGAGGTATTTTGCATGTATGATTCTTGTATGTGCATGCTGTAACTTGGCAGTGTGGTGTGTGTATGTGTAAGGTGTGTGGTGTGGGCACATACACGTGTGTGCCTGCGTGTGTGAAGTACATGGTGCCCAAGTGCTGTGGTGCAGACAGGTGTGCTTCACGCAGTGTCCACACAGCCCTGAGCCCCTGAGCCAGGCCCCATCTTGCTGAGTGTGCAGGGTTCTGACTGTGCCTTCTTGCCACCTGCTCCATGCCCATGCAGGGCCAGGGGATGGGGCAGCCTCGGCCTTCGTGGTCCTGCCCTTCCTAACCAAACACTCAAACCAAGGCATCCCCAGGCTGGTTTCAAGAAGCTGTGCTCTCAGACCTTCCAGAGGATAGAATTAGAAAATCCTCTGTGTGTGAGGCCTTCCTCTCCTGGACATTTGATACACACTGTGGTTTGCTTCAATAAAGAACATATGTTCTTGTGGTCTGCAAACCTCCTTAGTGAGAAAGCTGCAAGGAGGCCTCTGTGCTTATTAAACTGTCACTCCTGAGCAGTGTAGGAAGCTGGGCAGTCGCAACCAAGGTCCCCAAGACCAGCTGCCCAGTGTCCCAGCCACCTGAAGGAGATAGGCCAGCCCCTGCCTCACACAGCCAGGAACCAACTCCCAGAGAAATCAGAGTAAACATCATAAAGAGACACCAGGGGTGTGTTCACTCAGTTTTCTTCAGCTTCAAATTGATTCCTTTATTGTAAAAAATAGTTTTAATACTTTAATGCTAATGTTCTTTTAATGTTTATTGGGTAATACTTTTCATCTAAAGCTTTCAGAAATCCTCCACTGTCTTGAAAATGTATTTTCCAATATGCAGTCTCCTTGGCCACTGTGACTGGAGGTGGAATGATGTAGTCAGTGTCACTGAGCCATGCTGGATGGCTCCAGGTGGCCCTGAGGATGAGACACACACACACGTGGTACTGTGGCCCTTAAAGGGACATATGCAGCTGAGGCAAGTGCCTTCCTGGGGGCCAGGCAGAGCACCAGGCCACCCGCTGTGTCCCTGAGTCCTGTCTGTCCTCCACCTGGATTCTTGCATGTGATAAAATCTCTGGACTGCCCACCGGCAGTCACTGGTCACTTGGGCATCACTGACCCCTGGAATGTGTCATCCATCCACTTTGGCTTCACATCCTTGGAGAGAACCCTACCACAGACACCAGAAGAGCTTCTGGGCCAGGGCTCAGACCAACCCCGCAGCTCAGCAGCCCTGGCATAAAGGAAAAGGACAGCACCCACCACTCTGCCTGCAAAAGGTCACACTGGTGTTAGGGTGGCGACACTGAGCTACTCACCGCTGTCTTTCTGTCCCTTGTAAGGGATTTTGCAGTGAGCTCTATTAAAGCTGTCTCCACACACACTTCAAATAACTAATTATTTTTAATTCTAGCATGCAAGAAGACATTAGCCATCCTCCTCAGACAATTGACTTTACTTAACAAATCCATTACTTACCTAACTTTAGTGCTCTCCACTTTTTTCAGCATTAATTTAATTTCCTCCACTGTTCCACCTTAGCATCAGCCAGGAGAAGTATGAGTATCTCCCTGATATTTCTCACCCCATCTGGGTGAACTCAGGATGCTCTGTTTCCATTGCCCACTTTCTTTTGAGAATAGTCTGTGAAAGAGCATCACAGAGCCATGAAGCAGGAGGATTTGGTCATAGCGTTTCACCAGAGGATCTGCCTGGCCCTGGGGTCTTTCCTCAGTAACACCTGTCCACATGAGGCCAAGCTCTTCTGGCCATACCAGCCCCAGCTCTCGGGAGCTGCCACTTGCCTACCAGAGTTCTGAGGCATGGTCTACAGCCAGTAGCTCTCAGTGCTGATGGGGCACCCAGGCTTGTGGCACAGGCAACCCTCGGGATTAAATCACATCTGAAAGCTTTGAGTCTGTGTCCCAGATGGACCCTCAAGGTGGACTGAAATTCTCTGTTGAGTCAGATGCCTCACACTGCACCAGGGTCAGAGGCTAACAGACCCTGTGGGGCTGAATTCTGTCCTGAGTGTCCCTGAGGTGAGCCTCACTGTACCCGAAGGTCACAGCTTCGTTGGCCTCATCTCCCAGGGCCCTGGCACAGCCCCACCATGGGACAAGGTGGTGGCCTGACCCCACACCCACAGCAGTGCCAGGGCCCCAACACTGCCCATTCTGCAGAACCCAGAAAACCACATTGGATTTCAACTGGGCATTCTACTCTGAACTGCTCTTTTTCTTTTTCAGAAAAGTTTCTTAAAAACCAGTAGACAAAGAAGATGGAGAGGGGAAAGGGATAAAATTTTTAAAAACTTATTTTTTCAAAAAACCAGTAGACATATTTTAATACACTGGACCAGTCATGATGCACTTTATCAGAACCCAGCTCCCAATCTCACAACACCTCCAAAGATGCCTGACCAAGTGCACTGCACAGCGACCATGACCACAAAGCCCTGGCCAGGAGTTTTCATTGCTGGCTTTTGCATATGGACACAGTGCCTGCCACATGACATGGTGCCCCATGGCTTCTGACATGGGTCACAGTTGGGATGCTCCTGAGAAGCCCTAGGTCATATGCAGGTTCTCAGGTTGAGAGCATCATCCGTGCTGCAAAAGTCACCCCTCCCTGTGAGAGGGCAGAGAGTGCTGGCACAGTGCTCATGAGACACAGAAATACTCCTGTGGGCTTTAGGGTGTTTGTGGGAAGCTGCCAAGTTTAGTCACAAAGCTGTTCTGCCCTTGTCACTAAACATCACAGGGCTCACCATTCCACATCCCTGGAGAGACCTCATAGGCTTAAGATGCTGGAGAGGGCAGTGCCATGCTCATCCCCTTGGGTACCATGCTGTCTCCAGGGTGGCATTCTTCACACCTGAAATTCAGGTGCACCAGAATGTGCAGCGTTGCCAGCAGCTGTAGCCCTGCCAAGGGCCAATCACAGCTGCCATGAGGGCTGGTTTCCTGGCAAGGGCAAGACCCCATATTTGGGAGCCCTGAAGCCCCTTTCCTGCTTCTGGCCTGTTCTGGGAAAAGCAAAGTTCACTCCATGTCTGTCACTGTCATTCAGCTGTGTGGGCTCCATTGCCGGGGAAGATGGTCCCCTTAAGGGACCCGGCTGGCTGCTGCCTCCTCTTCCTGACCGCCTCCCTGAGACTCACCCTTCTATTCCAAACTGCTCTAAATGCATGGATTCTCTTTAGAACAAGGCTGTGGGTCCTGTGGCTCTCAGCATTGGCAGCCTTTGAACCCCTGAAGAGCAGTACCTAAGCAAACCAGGACCTGACCCTTGCCCTCAGCTGGGAAGACCTCTCTTCCAGCTGCTATGGACACTGGCCACCCTCAGGGAGATGCCCCTGGGAAGAAGCAGTGGGCTCTGGTGTCCTAGACCAACAGAGGAAGTGTGCTGCCCATGGACAGAAGCTGGGGAGACTTTGGGTCAGCTCTGAAGGTGACACAGGCACTTCACCTGCCCTTGGGTGGCCCAGAGGCCCCGGTGCTGCATGGGCCAGGGTTGGTGGAGTCAGTGATGGCACCAGGCAGCCTTCCACAGCTTCCCTAGGTTTCTTGCTGTTTTACTTTATGCAAATGTGATGTATGGTCCCAGCACACCCTCAGGTGTCGCCTATCACGCCGCCTCTCCTCAGCTCAGGCTAGATTTAGGCCTTTGCCCTCTCCTTCACTGATCTGCCACCTCTGGTCCCACAGGCCAATGCATTTATTCTCCTGAGGTAGTGCTGGCCTTGACTGCTGAGCCACCTGGGTGGCCATAGCAGCATGGGCTAGAGTGTCCTGACCACCAAGGCCACGCTGTGGTGTGGTGGGGATTGTCTTCCTGGGGGCTGCTCTCCAGAGCCCCATGTGCTTGTCCTGTGGTGCTGGTGGCATCTGGTGGCCTTGGACCAGTCTTGTTTCCTCATCACAAAAGTGTCCTTGCTTCACATCTGCGGCCCTGTTTTAGAAACCAGGGAACTCTGCGCTCAAAGGCCACTACTTCATGTAAAAGATCGCTCTAACCTTCCTTTCATCAAATGAGAACTAATTCTATGCAATCAAAATCAAAACATACCCTACTTCCTCTGACTTAACAGTCTAGATGCCACCAAACAACCCAACAAAGCTCAGTTTCTAGTGGTGGTGGCTGCTGGTGTTAAGTATGGTATCTACTCAGGCATCTAGGACTGTTCTCAGCTCGGCTTTCTCGAATTAATGCTAATGAAAGCTGCCCTTGCCTTATTTTCTGTGTGAACACTGAAATTGCAGCTGCCTGCCAAGCCTGCTGAGGGACGAGTGTAATAATTTTCAACTGGCCTCTTTGCCCAGAGGGAGCCCGATAGCAGGAGATTGACAGATTCGGAGTGGATTATCTTGTGCGCTGAGCTCAGCCCAATTTGTGGTTTGTTGCAGGTGCTAAAGAGATTGATATCGCAGCAACCCTGGAGCACTTGAGGGACCAGAGACCGGGCATGGTCCAGACAAAGGTACTGTCAATCAGTGCTCTGGGACTTTCAGGGTGTTAGAGGTGTCTCTCTGCAGCTGTTTCCTGAGAGTAGAGAGGGGATCAGGCTGATCTGACACAGGCCAGCTGCTGCTGTCCACCCCCATCCTCCCCAGGCAGGGGTGCCCAGGCTTTCCTGAAAGAGTCACAGGGCACCCATAGCCACAAGAACAGTTGGTGTCTGCAATGCAGGGAGAGACCAAGTAGGAGATTCAATTAACAGGATGTCTCTCTTTGAGGCAGGGGAAGAACACCGAGTTTCTATGGAAAGGAGGAAAAGGCAAACCCCAGGTCCCAGGGGTGTCCCCAGCTCACCAAATGCACCCCTGGCCCTCTATCTCCCACCTCCCTGACCACACCTGTCCTGGGTACTGGCCATTGGGTTGAAGACATCGGGTTGTCCCTGGGATAAAAGGAGTCCTGATGCTCCCAGAATAGCTCAGACTCAGCAAAAACCAGGTTATAGCAACAGGGATAAAAACAAAAGCTTTCTGATTAACCAGTCCTAAAACTGAGATTGCTCCAATTCTCTCTTCTCTGAGCATTCCAGAAATGTCTATATCCAGCAGCAGCAGCTTCTGCAGGTCCACTCTGTTAGGTAAACAGAGACCCAGTAAAGAACAAATAGCCAGCCTGAATTTCGGGTATCCAGGCACGACCTCCTGGAGTGACTCCAAAAGAGAGTCTGAGTCCAGCTTATTGAGCTGGGTGTTTTATGGATAGGGCAGGGGGGTTAGTGGGATGTGCTTCAGTGACAGGAAGTGAAGAGGGTGTGAGATTGGGGGAGTGAGAATGGCTGAGTACTTGGCCATAGCAACAGGTGCTGTGACTAGTGAGTGGGATGGGTGTGTCGTGTCCTGGCAGAGTAGACATTGTTCCCAGGCTCAGTTGGGGACTGCAGGATGTAGCAATAATCTGTGATTGATCTGGAAGTTCAGGAACTCGGGCAGCTGGGGACCGGCGGGGATAAGACCTGTCACACATCCTAGACATCCTGAAGTCACAAATATGCATCTCCCTACTGGTGTCAGGTCCTAGCACACTGGGTGCTTAGTGTGCACACGGATGTGAGATTGCTGAAAGATGCCCTTGCAGAATTACTCCATAACTTAAGAGGATCTTAGATTCTAAAAACCATACAGAGGCTGGGGACGTATCCCATGGTTCAGCACTTGCGTAGCACTTTCAGGGCCCTAGATTCAATCCCAGCATCACAACAGAATCCTTCGCTGCCTGGCAGGCCAAGATCCACACCCTGTGATCCCTAGCTGGGCATCCAGGCCAAGCTGATCCCTCTGGGAGGTGTAGGCAGCTCCTAGGCCCCCCATGCTATCCAACTGTTAGGGTGAAAGTTAAGCACTGTAACAGTAACATGTGCACGCAGGGTGAGCTGGGCCACATAAACCCAGGCATAGTGCTTGGTCCTGTAGAGAGCTGTCAAGGCTGGGGACAGCTCATCTCAGCCCGGAGTGCACCCAGCCTCCTGGCACTCGCATCCAGGCACAGGACCTTGGGGTCCCCCACCACAGGGTAATGGCTCCTCCCTCTAGTGACCCAGTGTCACATGAGAGAGACCAGCTACAGTGCCCCTGAAGATGGACAGCATCACAGGCAGTGGCTTTTCAGATGACCCTCACGTTACATGCCCCATGGAAGGTCTATCCTGCCACAAGAGGTCAGGCCAGACACCACCCCACTGTCCTGCACCCCACCCCCAAGCTCCAGGTAGCTGGGACAGGCAGTGGAGACAGGTGACACCAGTAGGCAGGGAAATTTCATACCCAGGAAGGAGCAGCGAGCTCTGCTGTGGACAAAGTCAGATGTGTGTTGGCCTCTACTCCATGGCAATGGTGGGAAATTCAAGCCAGCAGGTCCCTGCCTGCCCACACCTCTGCACTCATTGTGGACTTGCACCTCGTTCCAGACGAGGCCTGTGTACAAACAAAATCCCTCCTGACACCCTGCAAGGACAAAGCCCTTCAGCTCCTGGTGTCCAGGTCCTATTCCCCAAAACTAGCCTCAGCAGTCCCCACCTGAGCAAAGTGCTGTGGGACACACTGAGGAAAAAGGAGCCACTTCCGCCATCACCCCAGATTCCTTGCCCTGGTACTGTGGCAAACCAGATGTCATCCTGTGGCCTCCGTCCTGGCTAACAGCTTTCCTCATGCAGGGCCTGCTCCCTGTGGGGTCCACAGGGTGCCCACTGCCTCCTGTCAGGGTCAGTCATCCTGAGGTGTGTGCATCAGCCCAGCTCCTGGAAGCTGAGCTACACAGAAGTCACCGCCACTCCTCCTCACTAACCACCCTGCCAGCATCACCCCCAGGCTGCAGACCCACAGGTCGGTTCCACCCTGGAGAGAGACAGTGGACGAAACAGCAGTGAGCACCCCTCACACAGGCCAGAGTCTGCGTCTGCCCAGGGAACGGACACCTCTCTGCAAGGAGAATGTGACCGTGGACCTGGGGCTGTGCTGCCACCTAGTGGAGCACTGAGTTAGCGGAGTGAATCTCAGGAGCCCCAGACACCTAACAAAGTCCCCTGACAGCACAGGATCTGTCACCTATGAGGGTGAGCTGGACACCTGGGAGGTCAAGGTAGCACCAAGGCCAGAGATTCAGTGCCCCAGGAGCTGTCACCATGAGGCTCTGGGTAAGGGCATGGATAAACTCGCTGCAAGGAGAGGACGGCATCCCCCACACAGGAAGGAAGGATGCCAGCTTGTCCGGACAGGAGTGGGTGTGAGAGTGTGTGAGTGCATGTGTGCATGTGGGTGTGAGAATTGTAGCTGCTCCCTTGTGGCTGGTCCCACATGAGTGTCCATGGTCACAACCTTCTCCCTGCCCAGTGTGGACAGAGCAGCTGGACACCCACTCACTGGGCTCAGCCCCCTGACTAGCCCATCTCAGTGCTGCTTCTAACCTCACCCACCAAGGCAGATCGGTCACCAGGAGCCCCTCAGTTGTGCCACCTGACAGTGCGGATCCTGAGATCCTGCCTGTGAAAACCAGTGTCTGTCACCCACCAAAACCAGGGCTTAGTCCTTAAGTGCAGCCACAGCAGTCATTCTCGTGTTTCCCTTGGCGTGAATTCCTCTCACAAGTGCACGTCACACTCAAAGGCTGGGTCTCCTCCCCAATTCCTGGGGTTCCATCCGGGTAACCAGCTCAGAGGACACTACTCCACATGTGGCCACAAACTGCTGAGCCTCACACACTGTGACTGTGGTGGGGCAGGGGCTGGCACCAGAGCACAGCATCACTACCACCAGGATGACAGGGAAGACCAGCTCCGCCCACCGATGGGCCCGTCCTTAATCAAGTTGGCTGGCCAGATGATGGCATGCAAGGTCCATGGTGCCCGTGTCTCCTCTGGTGTGACCAGCAAGTGCCTGGTGTCTCCCTGGAGTTCTGTGCCACCAGATCTGTGCTGTCTCCTCAAGAAGCCCACAGTCCTGACAGTAGGGTGACCAAGGCTAGCCCTGTGCAAACAGGTCACATGTAAGTGTATGTGCGCTTCCCGAGGCAGGTGCGGCCACCACCCATCACTTAGGAGGGCTACAGGAGGAGGTGGCTTCCCAAGCTATGACAATACCACGCCTCTACACATCTGTGCACAGAACAAGCCCAACATGGCTATGGCTGTGGTGGTTTTAATGGCCATGTCCTTACTGCCTGATACCCCTGCCCCATTCCATTCCAGGAAGGCAGGGGCTGGGGTGAGGGATCCCAAGGTCAGGACTCAGCAGGGTGTGAGGGGCCCCCAATAGTTCTGGACCCACTGCTCCCCACCCAGCTCTGGACTCAACATGTCCCTCCCAGAAGTCCGGGCCCCCCCCCACCAACCAATCTGTCAGCAAACCAAAGACTGCTTGTTCCTCTCCCTTCCCAGCATCTCTGCTGCAGCTCCCCACTGGAGCCACACTCACGTCTCCTCTCCTTGTCCCCTCACAGGAGCAGTTTGAGTTTGCACTGACAGCCGTGGCCGAGGAGGTCAATGCCATCCTGAGGGCCCTGCCCCAGTAGGCACCATTGCAGCCACCGGGACCACGCCGTGACTCTGCCCGTGTGTCTCTCATCATGACCACATAGTGATAGGCTCCTTAAGCTGCTGTGGTCAGTGCTCTTCACCCCAGAAAATGTGTACTTTTGTTTCATTGAGCGACAGGGGCTTGCAGCAACATCCAGCTGGAGTAAGGGGAGAATCAGTTCATCTGTTTTCACATTCTTGAGAAGGTTACTTTTTCTAAAGCACATGTTCAATTTCTTAACCGCAATCTTGCTGTGTTGGCACCTTCAGCGTGATCTCAAAGCAGCTTGACAGAGGGGGTGAGTAGGGCAGGGAGGCACCTGGGAAGCCACGGGTCCTAAAGAGGGGCCACCAGGTGTGGAAATGACTGTGGTGTCGGCCTCAAGGCTGGTCCATCACAGGAGAAGTCTCAGGCAGGACTGTTAGCATCCACAGCGTGGAGCAGGAAAGAAAGAACTCCCCAAGGCGTCACTGCCAGCTCCTCCTGACCTGCTCCCCCAAGCACTTGCAGGGCCATGTCAGCCACACAGGTCCTCAAGGACAGAAGGAGCTCCCTGGGGTGACACCTCCCCACTGCTGTTTCCGAGGTCAGGACCTCACATGAGGTTATAGTTGATGGCCATTATTAATGTGAGAATATCGATATCTACACTGTAGAACCAGATGCCCTGGCATGCTTTCCCGGGAGGTAATCAAATCGGAGCAGGAATGAGTGGTCAGTGAGCCCCAAGGGTCCCAAGGGCACAGTGGTCCCAGGGGATGCTTGGAGGTCCAGTCCTGGGAGGAGAGGGGTGGACTCCCTGACTCCGCTGTCACCCACACCCCAGCCCTGGAGAGACTCGGGCCCTCCCGCCTTCCAATGGTTAGCAGAATGGGTCTGCATGATTCAGAGTTGCCAAAATCATGTGGGAGCCTCAGGTTTCCTCCCTCTCCAAGTAGGAAAAGCCCCTTCTGTAGACGACATCAGGGTGATGCAATGCTGTCACCGAGAGCCACAGACACCTCTGTGGGGCTGAGCATAGAGAGACCCCGACCTGCCCAGTGCCACTCCATCCCTTCCACCTCCGTGTGACATCTGTGGCCAAGTGTAATGGGGAAAGGAAGGGAGAGAGGCGCAGACACGCTGTCTTAAGTGGTGTTGTATATCTGCTTTGATACCTGTCCTCTCCTGAAATCATTTCTCCCTACCCGGAATTTAAATAATAATTAGTAGAAATCAATTTATCTGAATATAGGAAGCATATACCTACTTGTAATTTCTAAATTCTTATGTTTTAAAAAAATCCTGCGGTGTGAGATATATAAATATATTTAATGGTGTCATATTAAACTTCTGATTTCACATTTGGTGGTCTTTATTTGAGAAGGACAGAGCAATTATTTTCCTGTCCAGCTGTTTATTCCCTGAAGATCTTGAATGATCAATGGCTCAATCAGATCATGGCCCTTCCCAGGAGGTGGCAGGGCCTGTGGGGTATCTGTGGGTGTCCAGGGCTGTCCCCATCACGGTGGTGAGGCAGAGCAATAGGCAGTGCCGGACTGCTTGTGCTGTGCCTGCCTAGTGAGCCTCACAGCATGTGCCATCGGAGATCCGACCCAGGGGACCGGTTCTGCCGTCCCCAGTGAGCAGAGCCTGTGTCACCCCCACCCTGCACCTCTCTTACACAGGAAGTGCACTCAGGATGTCTCAGGTCACAGGTGAGGGGCAGCACCCCTGTGGTGTGGCTCTGACTCCTCCTCTGCTTGGCTGTTGCATTCAGCAATGGTGAGAAGTCACAGTGCAGTCGGGCTGTCACACCCCAGGTCGCTCCTGAGCAGCACCCACCAGCATGTCTGCATTTCTCAGGAAGCCAGGCACAGGAGCTTCCAGTGTGTGCTTGTCAGTGTGACCCCCTGGGAACTTCCTCTCTAAGTCCCTCCTGTCAGTGTCCCTGAGACTCTGCTGCCCAGTACGGTGCCGCATCACTGGCTCACTGTCACCAGGCTTCCCGTGCACACACAACACAGTCACTGTGTGTAGAGCCAGGCTGAGGAGAGAGTAGTCAGCTTCACTACAGGACTGGCATAGTGGGCAGAGCTCAGCCTGGATGCCAGTTCGGGCACACTGGGAATGTTAACCCAGCCCTGGGAAAATCTATGCCACGATGCTACCAGTGAGGGGCAAGGAACAAAGCAACACAGCCCCCCCACACACACCCCATGGGCCTTCAGTCCCAAATGTGCCCACAGGACACACACTGCAGCTGTCCAGAGCTCTGTGTCTGGGCCAGCCTGCAGTCATGATGGTAACAGGCCTCCCACCTGAATGACCTGGATGGTGGCCATGGGATGGGCAGGAGCAGACATGAACCTGAATGTCACCTGCCCATAGTGGGGGCCAGTTTCTGATCCTGGAGGACTGTGTCCTCGATCTTCTGTGCTGTCCCTGATGGGGAGGCCCCAAGCCCCACACATTTGGGTCCTGTCTTCACCATTCATGTGACATCTACGCAGTCAACCACACCAAAGATAAAAGCAGGGTGCCCTGTGTGCTGACACATCTGCCACAAACAGTACCAGCGTGACAGCACCAGGGCAGCATTCAGAGGGGAAGCCGTAGGTAATGTACGTAAGAGCCATGTGTAAGAGTACCAGAGGTGACAGAGAGAGTCGGAACGATTAGGAAGCAACCCGATTTTGAAATCAGCCAAGGCCTGGACTCACATGGGCACGAGTTCCCTGAATAACCGAGGGCTGAAGTTGTCTCCCAGGAGTAGCCTGGGCCTCTCACTGACCTTGATCACAGATCAGAAGTGGCTTTCCAGGACTGATGGGAGTGCGTAACAAGCTCGGAATCCCCCAGACTGTGCTGGGGCAGCCATCCAGGAAAAACCCAGCCCACTCTCCCTCCTGTAAAGTCCCGACCTAAGCTCAGCCCAGGCCCTGGCTGGTTATGCTACCCACACAATAAAGCTTTTTCTCTTGCAAAAACCTGTTTCTGTGGACATTGGTTTCCCTGGTAAGCATGGAGGACAACAAGCCCTTGCTCCATATTTGAATATTTACTAATCTGTGCCCTGATATAATGTCAGTTAATATCATTTAATTTTAATGACTATATCAAACAACCACCTATAAAATTCCTCTGAGCAGCAATGTACAGGTCTGAAGAAGGTAATGGGGAACACGGTGCCTCGGGACCCCAAAGAGAGGAGTCTACAGAAAGAGGAGCCCCAGCCAGGAGTAGTAATTCCAGCACTCTGAGAGGCTGAGGCAGGAAGATTGCAAGTTCTAGCCCAGGCTGGGCAACTTAGCAAAACACTAACTCAAAAAGAAAAATTAAAGATTGGGGGCATAGCTCAGTGCAAAGGCTGTGGGTTCAATCCCCAGTACCAGAAAGAAAAGAAAAAGAGAAAAGGAGGAGAGAGGACAGGAGAGGAGAGGAGCAGGTCCCCAAGATAAGAGAAGGTAAAACTTCATGGTAGACCCTTAAGGACCCCATGAGGGCAGCTCCTAAAACCCAACACAGCACCCCTGAGGACACAGGAAGGCTGTGACATCCACTCTACCTGTAGACACCATGAGAACATCAGCACTAAGGATGGCCAGACATGGAGGGGAGCCCAACAGGTCCTCTGGACAGGAACCCCAAGGGGAGTAAAGACCTGAAACTAGGGGAACACAGGTCCTGGTGACACAGCAGAAAGTGGAAGTTGGTGTTGGGTTGAACAGAAGAGGAGTGCATCTGGAAACTCCAAGAGGAAACCAAAAGGCAGGGCCAAGGAAAGTGCACAGGGAAGGAAACTCCCAGAGGAGTCCCAGGAGGGAGAGGAGCCCCTACACAGCCCTGTCCCTGTGAGGTCCCAGCTCAGGGAGCCAGAGACACCTGCTCCTGACTGATAGGGCCAGATACACAGCTGTGATAGTGGGAACGGTGCCCAAGTTCCTGTGGGACCTGAGTCCACCCAGAGCTAGCCAACCTTAGAAGGCACCCACCATCCTCCAGCATGGGCTTCCCTCCAGACACGCTCCGCCGGGGTGATGCCACCCATGAGGACGTCACCTGAGCTGGCACCAGGCCTGGAGCCCCACAGCCTGGGCTCAGGAAGTCAGTTCTCTATAAGCACTGCCCTTGGGCATTGTCACGGTGACAAAAATGCAGTGATGTGTGCCAGGATGGTTTCGAGACCCCGGCCACAAGGGCGGTTTCCTTCCTTCTGCCTGTAACATCCTGGCTTGGGGTGGTGAGGACAGAGAGATGTGGTTCTTGGAGAACAGAAGGTGAACTCACTTGGACCTGAATTTTCCTAAGGCCACAGTGAACAAGCTGGGGACCAGGACCTGGTGAGGAGTAGGGTGGGGCTAAGTGGGTGGGTGTGGCTAGATGAGAGGTGTGGCTAATCACCCCACTTTGCCCCAGATGGGTGGTGCCCTGAGCACAGGGCTCTGATTCAGTGTGATATTGGTGAAGAGACCCAATGACCAAATCCTCCTGCCTGGTCTCCAAGCTCACGTGGAGGGTTCTGAGTATTCACCATTTCAATACCATGAAGCTAATCCCAAGCAATCAGTGATACATTTGTATGGAATGTTGCTTAAAATGATGGGAGAAAATGGTTAAATGTGATCTTACCACAAAACAAAAGAAGAAATGCAACAATGCTTATCTCAATGGTAAGACCTGATGCCTCACACAGTGGTACACGCCTGTAATCCCAGCCCTCTGGGAGGCTGAGGCAGGAGGATCACAGGTTCAAGCCCAGCCCGGGTAATTTAGTGAATAGTCAAGACTGAGTCTCAAAATTTTAAAAAAATAAAATTTAAAGGACTAGAGATGTAGCTCAGTACAAAGGGCCTGGGCTCCATCCCAATTTTAGGAGAAAGCAAACCCACAGATGTCAGGGTGTTAGGGTGGGGCAGATTGGACTTCTGGATGTACCCACTTGTGCTCACACACATACCCTCACTGGAGAGAGGGCCTCCCTAAAGGTGCCACTGCCCTGCATATTCTGAGCCTCGTCAACAGTCCTCAGGCCCAGCTCTGCGAGGCTGCCTTTCTCAGGGTGCTGCCTTGCACATCCCTAACCATGCCTTCCACTGACGCTCACAGTTTCCATGCTCCCTGAAGCCCTAGGACCGTGCCCCAGGGCCGAGCGTACAGCCTGCTGTGCGGTACCCACACATGGCCTCCATGCAGCTGGGTGGTGGGCAGGTGTCTGCCCATGGCATCTACAGCAAGGGCTGCGGGGCAGCTGCTCTTCCCAAAACCTCCCAAGGCCTCGGCAGGGCTCTGGGCCCAGAGCTCCCTGCTGAGAGTGGGGTTGAAGTAGCTGCCTTCCCTGTCTCTTCCTGGGCTGTGCCAACCGAGGCACTGAGCCAAGCACCCTTCTGTCTTCTTCACACCAGACTTTAGCCTGCTTTGCACCCCTCACCCTCCACCACCTTTCTCTCATCTTCGTTTCTCTCCCTCCCAAGTTTCAATGCATGCGTGGAACCACCCGGGGGCCCTCCATGGGGAAATGACAATGATATTATGTGTAATCTGTGTTTGTGCTTTATTAATCAAGTAGAACACTAATAAAAAACCTTCATAATTAGTGGAATAGGCATTAATTCAAAGATGTTTATTGGAATAGAAAATTAGAATTTGATTATACCTTTGTTCCTGAACAATAGCTGCTTTTCATTTTATTTGGGTATTCGGTTAGAAACTGGTCTTAGCCATTTATGTTGCTCCATTTATTAGACAAACCAGATGGTTTATGTAATTTGCTCTTTTTAGTTGTGTACAGTTGATAAATATCATGGAGGTTTTCCTGGATGGGAGGTGACTTCCCCTTGCTCAGCTCTCTGCTGTCCTCTGGGGGATGGTATTGGGACAGTCATGGGACGAGTGACTGGGGCACAGTCTGGCTTCATGCACAGGAATAGGAGACCATGACAAGACATCTTGGAGTCCAGGAAACCAATCCAGGTGTGGTAGCCAAAGAAGCCTCCTGGAGAGGCACCCCTGAGGTCAACCACTAGATGCCCATCTGCTGGTCCAGCCTGGGCCCTAAGCCACAGCCTGCTCTGTTCCTACAGGAGACACTGGACCCTCACCAGGCCTGTGATGCCCCTTATCCCCTGTCCCACCTCACGTGTCACACCCGCCCTCCAGAAAGTGGACCTGACCCCAGACCCAGGCCTGCCCAGTGAGCCGACTTCTGGTCCCTTCCATGTCCCTCCTGTGTCCCCACATGTCCCTCTCAAGTGCCTCATGCATGTGTCCCTCCCATGTCCCACTGTTCGTATGGCCATCAGCTACAGGTAGAGGCAGTGGGTGACCAGCCACCTGGAAAAAC